CGGGTCAGCGCCCCAACTCCCCAATTGGCCCTGCTCTGAGCCCAACCAGGGGCTGCACCTAGGGATTGGGCCTGCCCTCTGCCACCCGGGAGCAGACCTAAGCCAGCAGGTCGTTATCTCCCGAGGGGTCCCAGACTGCAAGAGGGTACAGGCCGGTCTGAGGGACCCCCCCTTCCCCCGAGTGCACAAATTTTTGTGCACCGGGCCTCTAGTATATATATATAATGTAAGTACCAATTTTAAGTACTTTCAGTTAAGATTCCTAAAAAGTGAGTGAATGTGTGTGGGAGGGGTTAGTATTGACAAAGTATAATAATAAAATAATAATAATAATAATAAATAATGGTTAGTATTTTATAATATACAGAATATTTATAAAAATTTGATCTATAAACACAAATTAATGAAGGTTTACTTCATACAAGTCTTTTCATTGAATACATTGGTGCTGCTATTTCTATATGATGTGATTTGTTTTGCAAACCTCTATCTACCTGTGTAAGCACAGAGGCCAAAATGTAATTTCATAATAAGAATATTTAAAAAATATTTCCATATTCCTAAAGACAAATTCTGGCACACTAAATCCATTTGATTGTTCTTTTTTTTTTTTTTTAATATATTTTATTGAGTTTTTCTTACAGAGAGGAAAGGAGAGAGATAGAGAGTTAGAAATATCGATGAGAGAGAAACATCGACCAGCTGCTTCCTGCACACTCCCCACTAGGGATGTGCCCGCAACCAAGGTATGTGCCCTTGACCGGAATCGAACCCGGGACCTTTCAGTCCGTAGGCCGACGCTCTATCCACTGAGCCAAACCGGTTTCGGCCATTTGATTGTTCTTGAGTATTATTTTGTTTTTACCTCAAATTCTTAGCAAATATTTTTTCCAAAATACTGAATTTTGAGTTTTAAAAAAGCAGCAAATATTGAATAAAATCTGAAGTGCTCAGGAGAACTGAAATGAACCAAGTATTTTCCAGCAACTACCACACAACCTAAGAAATATAATTTGAAACAGTAAAAGGGTATAAGTACTACCAGTAATCAAAGTAATTAAATAATTTTAAAATACAAGTGACCTATGATGATCTTTTAAAAAAGGAAACTGAAAATGCTGAAGTTCTAGTCTGAGAAACTTAGATAACATAGCTGCTCAGATTTTTAATGTCCATTTTCTGCAATAAAGCAGAAATGTATTTCCATTACATATCACATGCTTTCCCCAACATACCTGTGGAAAAACAAAAACTGTCAATGAACCAACTCTCAAATTCAGAGGCCATTTGTTTAAAAATAAGCAATGAAAAAGTTTCTGCTAAAACTTATGTATACTTGTAGAATCCAGACCCTCCTGTGCTTTTCTATATAAGGCTGCAACCAGAGCAAATTATGTTCCACAGCAAAGGCATAAAAAGCTGGGTAAGAATCTTGTTTCACAGCTACAAGTTAGAATTCTTGAAATTGCTATAAGGCTCACAGGGCAGACTCTTCTCTTCACAGAAATAAAAGCTCTACAATCTCTAGATTGTGTCTTACTTTTTCTCAAATGGGAAAAACAGCTCAGGGTTAATACACAACAAATCTATCTTAAGCTAAAACAACAGAGTTTATTATAATTCCCCAAATATTAAAGAGAGCTCTTAAGAATATAATTTGAATAAGGGTCATGAACTAGTTCAACATATTTCACTGATGATTTTATTAATTATAATGAATGCTGCTACTCTCTAAAAACGAATATATCAAAGAGGAAATAACCTCCTTGGCATGCTTACAGCTATACAACACATTAGTTTCATTATTTTCAAGTGCTAGTGCTGGAGGCTCAGAATAAGTCAACGGGAGGAGGACTTCAGTCACAGCAGTAAGCAGGTCTACTGAGCAGATAACGGAAACAAGCAAATAAGAGGTAAGTGTTTAGTAAATAATAGTTAATATATTTTTTCTTCAAAAATTGTGCTTCTATAATCTTTCATTTCTATATAGTTTAAAAAAAATGAAAAATTTACCAATGTTAAATGGAAAATTTTTAATATGGGATCTGTAGATTTTATGAATAAATGGTTTAATCTTCCTCTTAGCTTCCCCTCCTTTCCAAGGAAACTGAGACAGTTAAGAAAAAAAATTACTATTTAAAACAAACAAAAAACTGGTTCAAATCTAGCGAAAAGTGACACACTTGGAAAAAAATATCTGTTGCAGAAACATGCTTTCTTTACAAGATGAAATTACTAAAACAATTATTTGGATCCTAGTAATACCTGATTTTTTTCCCCTTCTCTCAAACTAAAGAAGTCCTAAAATGCTTTATGAAAACAGCATTTATATCAGCATTAAGATAAGCCTTGTCGGAAAAATAAAAATTTCTAGCTGGTAAAAAATTTACACTTTAGGTGGGGCTGAGAGTGTTTTTAGGTGTGTGGCTGGCTAGTGTGTACCAAAAAGTTCCATTCAGAACTATTTAGTACTTTGATGTTTATATTCTTCTGTACATATTCTAAGGTAAAGTTAACAACTCGTATTTTATTATAAATCACTAAATCACAGAAATATCAGGAACATGTTTATGGAAACTGGCTGCACTGTCACAAATGCACAAGAGACCTACTGTGAAGGGAAAGGCTACTAAGTTCAAGTGTTTGTCCTGTTTTTATAAAGTAAATAAAATAACACAATCCACATATTTTATACTTAGGGAAAACTCTCAGACATTCCAATTCTAACACAACTCTACCACTACAGAAGAAAAATAAAGAGAAACTAATAAAGTCTTTTTTTTACAGCTATCGTTTTCTTTCACTAAGCCTTCTGAAATCGGAGCCTCAGAATACTAAACTTGGGCTTTACCTACAGACATGGACAGATGCATGTGCGCTCTCATTTTAGAGAACTTGAAATTGTTCTGAAAGGAAGGAATCAACTTTGGCTTCAAGGATTTGGCATGGGTAAGAATGCCTTAAAAAAGCAGATGACCAGTTTATTTACTGACCATGCTGACCATTATCTGGAATCGGATCAAATCACAGAAAAACAGCAAATGGCTTTTTCTTACAGAACATCTGAACAAAGCACAATTACTGAGCTCATTTTGCAGAGTTCATTTGATCACTTAATCTCTTCTAACTGGTCTGGATTACAGACAGAATCGATACCAGAGGAAATGAAACAGATTGGTGAGGAACAGGGAAACAAGCCACGCTGGGCAGCTCTTCTGATAATCATGTTGATCATACCTACAATTGGTGGAAACATCCTTGTTATTCTGGCTGTTTCACTGGAGAAAAAGCTGCAGTATGCTACCAATTATTTTCTAATGTCCCTGGCAGTGGCTGATTTGCTGGTTGGATTATTTGTGATGCCAATTGCCCTCTTGACAATAATGTTTGGTAAGTATTTCACTTTGTTCCTGCCATCAAATCAAAGAACTATGATATACTATACTACTAGAATGAATACTTATTTAATCTTTAAAGGTGGACCTTGACTATTAAAACACAGAGTAAGTAAACAGTTTGCTTTTTAATAATTTTCTATGGTAGTTTTATTTATTCATTAAACCATTTTTTATTTTTCAATTATAGTTAACATATTATATTAGTTTCAGGTTTTCTATGGTAGTTTTAAAAAGCAAAAATAATTTCTTAGAAATAATTCTACTCCCTCCTTAGCCTAATAAAATAATTTGAAGTCATCTAGCAATATTCATTGATTCTGCATACATTACCAAAAAATTATAGTGAAGAACAGACATATACTTCAACTTTCCCATTATTAATGCTTTTTTACTTGACAAAGCCATAACTAGGACACTTCTGTAACAGTTATGTGCTGGGTTAATTATTAATGATAAGATCTTTGAAGCACTAAATTTTAATTTAAATCACCATTTAAAATTAGAATTATTCTAAAATTTCTTGTTGTATCCTTTTATAGTTTGTGTAATTTAGACTCAAACACAATTCTTACACATGTGTCATGTTTAAGAAAAAATTATGTTTAGATGCTGAAGGAAATGGTCCGGCTCAGAGTGTCCCAATAGATGACCCATGTGTTTAATTTTTATGATTTCTGACCATTCATGTCCTTGATACATATGTAAGAGGAATCAGATCTCTAGGTTATTAAAGTAAGTGACCAGCACCTGAGTTCTTTTTTTTTTTAAATATATTTTATTGATTTTTTTACAGAGAGAGGAAGGGAGAGAGATAGAGAGTTAGAAACATCGATCAGCTGCCTCCTGCACATCTCCCAGTGGGGATGTGCCCGCAACCCAGGTACATGCCCTTGACTGGAATCGAACCTGGGACCTTTCAGTCCGCAAGCCGACGCTCTATCCACTGAGCCAAACCAGTTTCGGCGCACCTGAGTTCTTAACAAAAAATGTAGTCTGACACTGAAGTATTAGTTTGTTATTACAAAAAGATAATATTAAAATGATATAAGTAGTTTCTGATTCAGGTATATCATCTTTAGTTATAGAATTTGAGTAAATACAAATAATTCTGTTGATGAATTATGAGGATTCCTAAGAATCAATATTAAGAGTATATTTAACTTATTCAATGTTTGGTGTAAATTGGTATTCACTTCATTAAGCGCTTAAGAAAAATAATTATTTGTAAGAGAATAGGGCTTCCTGGAATTATGTTTATATGACAAAGACAAAAATACTTCAGGTTATAGAAGTAAAATTTATTTAACTTCAATGCATATTAGGAGATGAAGAAAAACTGCCATTCAAAAATATTATATTCAGGTTGAAACACTACATGTTTATACTTATAGAAAAGATATCTAAAATTAAGCACTTGATCCCCCAAATATAACCAAATGGTGATGGGCTGAAACTTCCCATTTTAAGCCAATATTTATGCAGGCTTTAATTTCTGTGGCAGAGCAATCAGTGAGTAAGTTCTGCTGCTTTAATAGGTTCTCTAATCATTCATACTGTCTATCCATTTATTCTCCTCCCTTTTATAAATTCATAATCTTTTGAATAATCTAGTGCTACACATAACCGTGAAAAATAATTAAGAAATCTTACTTTTAAAAGAGAACCTAAACAATTTTGAGTCTCAATAAAATTTAAAAGAAATACAGTAAATGAGGATTATGTAGGAACATTTATGCATATTTAGTAAAGACTGTACAGGTACTGGATTCCAGTTCTTATCTCCATATACATAATAGTAGCCTAATATGTAAAATCATACTCCTTAAAGCTGTACTTTGCTAGGCATACAGAAAATGTTAAAATGTTCACCTCCTACTACCATAAAATTTAACTGATAAGTTAAATAAATGAGATTGAACAAGTTATGTAGAAGTAAATTTTAACTTTAATATCCCAAGTCCATAAATATCAAACATCTACTATATATAAAATACTGTGGTAGATATTTATAAATTATCAGCTAAATAGTTAAGGAATTTGAAAAGGCAAAGCTCCATAGTATTAAAGTGAGGTGATAAACGAAACACAAAAATAAATGAGAGGTAATTCCATGTATTCCATGGGAAAAGAATAGGTATCCAGCAGCTGAAAACTAAGGTTATATTATTTAAAGTTTTGGGGCCCAAGATATCCTTAGCAAAAAAAAGTTAGCAGGAAATCCAACATATTTTAATGAACATAGAACATCTTTCTATTTATGTCCAAAATAATATATGTATTTTTAACTACATTACATTCTTTCAAGTATAGGGTATCCCCAAAAAATGTATACACATATTTTGAATAATTATAAAGGCAGTGTTTATTAAAATACATTTATTTTCAAAACTGAGCTACTAACTGTTAAAGTATATATACATTTTTAGGAGAACAACCTGTATTAGTTAATTTTAAATTACAAAATAAAATCTTTCATAGCCCCAAACACTTTTACTATCAGTAATCAAGCTGTATAGTAGGGCTAGATTTTTTTTTTAATGAATTAACCCGAGCACTTAACCACTATTTAAAACATTTCATTACTTCATTACTGAATACATTGCATTTCTATGTGAAAGTATATGAAGAAAATGCATGCTGTCCTCTTTAAAACTTCAAAACAATGCATTCAAAAATTAGGAATTGCACAAATTATAAGACTTCAAATATTAAGAAATTTTGACGGCCCTTTATATGCTAATAATTAGTAAGACTTCCTAAATTAATTAGTAAGAATTTCTAACTTTAAATGGAACAGATTTTGTATATTTTCTTTCATTACAGAGAGAATCCTCAGAACTTCTGCAAGTCTGTACAAACAAAAGTATCTCTAGTGCTATACACATAAAAAGTTAACTACCACTATGATGATGAGTGATTTTAGTTATTTCAGGGAAATTCAATTAAAGTAACAAAGAAACTTTATATTAGCTAATATTTTAATAAAATTAAGTTTTAAAAAGAAGAGAGCACTGAATTTTTAAAAAGTGGCTCTTATACTATACCAAGGGCTATTTTATTCCACCAATGATTTACATAATATTTGATTATATATTGTTTGAATTTTTATTTTACCAAGATTATGACTCCTGGTATAACATGGTTTTTCAAATGAGTTGTGCTCTGTCAACTTTTCTGTCACTTGTTCCTCTCTGGCTTTAACACCCCTATTATATGGTTCTATTTTTTTTTTTACTGTCTTGCCTATACATTCCTAAAATCTAGGATCACAAATTAGTAACTTATAGCTTAAGTCCTGAAAATGCCTACATCAGAAATAACTAGTTAGGACACAAAGGAAAACAGAACAACATATGCTAATATAAAAGAGGATGTTCACAGTGTAAGAATTTCTCTAAACGCTTCCTTTTCTCATTATATAAATACTAGGGGCCCGATGCACAAATTTGTGCAAGAGGCTTGGCCCTCGCAGCTCCGGCTTCGTCCGGAAGGACATCTGGAAGGTCATTTGGCTGTCCGGTCTAATTAGCATATTACGCTTTTATTATTACAGATTTACAGCATTTGGTCATCCATTGGTCATTATTGGTTTATTTAGAGGGAAAGGAAGGGAGAGAGATAGAAACATCGATGAGATGAAAAACATCATCAATCAGCTACCCTCCACTTGCCTTCCTACTGGGGATCGAGCCTGCAACTCAGGCATGTGCCTGTACTGGCAAATCCTTCCTGGGCCGACACTCAATCTCTGAGCCACACTGGCCAGGCAGGGTAGCAGTAATTTAACTAAACTGTCTGATAACTTATTTCCCATAGATTGACTCTTAGATATACCTTTCTTTCTTTTTATGTAAATCTGCAACTGTTCCATTTTAAATAAGTTCTTATGGAAATAAGCTGGACATAATACATTACAACAAATAAATGAAATTATAAATCATTAAAACAAATTGAAACTCCTCATAAAAACAACATAAAGTTTTGGAATAGTTAACGCATCTTACCATATCCACTGAATCTTTTATAGTTATTCTGAATAGTAAGAAACCTTTCTTACCTTGAGCCTATGAAATTAATACTAACTGAAAAGATAATTTTAGAATGAAAGCATATGGACTAGAAAAAAGTCCCTTTATAAAATGAAAATGTCTAGAATTGTTTTTAATTTGTATAAATTCTTAGATTACCTGAATCTATTGAGGCAATTACATAAACCGTTTTTTCTTTTTGCTTTGTATAAAAGATTTATATTAATATAGTCATCTATTTATTTTATGTTAGTTTCATAAAATGTCTACTCACTAGTATTTCATAAAACTTGGAATCATAAAGCTTAATCCAAAGGATCCATCTCTCTTAATCCTAAACCTCATAGTCTCTTTCTTTCTTTTCTTGTTTTGTTAATCCTCACCGGAGGATATTTTTTCCATTGATTTTTAGAGAGAGTAGAAGGGACAGGGAGAGACAGAGAGAGAAACATCAATGTAGAGAGATACAGCACTCATCCAGGACTGAAATCAAGCCTGCAACCAAGGTACGGCGCCCTTGACTGGAACTGAATCAGAACCCTTCAGTCCACTGGCCAACACTCTAACCAATAAGCCAAACTGGCTAGGGCAGTCTCTTTTCTTTTCAGAGAAAATTCTCTTCCATGCCTCCATATTTCTACTATTTTCAATAAGAAAGCATTGAATCAACAAAATTATAGCGATCTGAACTGACTTTAATACCTATTTCCTGTTCCAAAACTGGAGTTATAAAATAAATTCATTGGAAAATGAGGCTAATGAGGCTTCATAGGTTGAATTAAATTAGCACTAGAGAACTTTCCCTCCTAGCCCACAATTAGGAATATGTGGATCAGATAATATAATTCCAAAGACATGTTCTTTTTATATGAGAGTTCTTTGTGGCTTCCCATTCATGGCTACTAGATTTATGATTAAAATTTTCCAGATCTTTTTTTATACTTTTTTTTTATTGATTTCAGAGAGGAAGGAAGGAGAGGGAGAGATAGAAACATCAATGATGAAAGAATCATTGATTGGCTACCTCCTGCACACCCCACACTGGGCATCAAACCTGCAACCCAGGCATGGGCCCGGACCAGGAATCGAACCGTGACCTCCTGGTTCATAGGGCGATGCTCAACCACCGAGCCATGCCGGCCGGGCTCCAGATCTTAATTTTAAAAAATATAACCCATAGTTAGAATAGCTAAATAGGCAAGTTTAAAAAAATTATTTGCAACCCATTAACAAGAACTTACATGCATATATGCATAACCCATCGATAGGCAATAGTGCAGGGAAGGGCTGGGAAGGGGGTGGGAGTGAGGTGGAGGGGTCAATGGGGAAAAAAAGAGCAAGCCTATGTAGTACTTTCAACAATAAAGATAAAATTTAAAATAATAATAAACAAAAATAAATAAAGCCTAAGATATGACATTAATTATCTGGCTTTTACAATCCTTAACTATGATCAGTATCTGTGGATGCAGCCCCAGACTTGAGCATTTTTCTATTTCCTACTCATCCTCAATCTAGAATTTCAGGACAGTTCAGAACACAGCTCACTGTAAGCAGTTTACACTGCAAAACTCTTAATCACACGCAACTCTGTTCCCTCTACTAAGACCGCTGGTTTGCTTAAGCTTAGGGCAAACATTGCTATCTTGGACTGCACTGGTCTTTTCCCACTAATTAACAGAAATCTGAATAAGACAGCTAAAAGGGAGAAAATTTAATTGATTCTTTCTACACACAAATTTTTCTGCCACTCTTTATTTTGAGGTTTCCCATAAGTTCCTTTCTGAGGCATTCTGAGTGCCCAGCCTACATTAGCTAATATCAAGCCAGACACAACCTTTCCCAGGAAGTCTTCAGTGTTTCTTAAACATTAATTGCATACATATCACCCTGGTATCTTGTTCAACTGCAGAATCTGATTCAAGTGTCTGGGATGAGGCCTAAGAACTTGCAGTTCTAACAAGTTCCCAGGTTATGCTGATCCTTGATCTGAAGAGCACACTTTGAGTGGCAAGGCTTGAAAGAATACTTTCAAATTTTGATAATTAAATGATCCCTCTCATATTCAGAGACTTAACTGTACCTGAATTCACTCATCTGCAAAATCAGTGATATAATCTCTAAGGTCCCTTCCAGCTCAGTGACTCTATAATTTATTATCTTCATCCCTTATCCTCACCCCCAATTCAGTGAAGTAGAAATGATATAATAGTAATTTACTTAAGAATATGAATTACTCTTTCCACCTGATACTGTAATCCTTTTTCTAAAGAAGCTGCTGAACATGGAATCAAATACCACGCAATAATTTACCCTTTCTGAACAAAAATTCATACTGATTTTGTTATTACGTTCCTAAGAAGAAACATTTTATTTTTTAAAATATATATATTTTATTGATTTTTTACAGAGAGGAAGGGAGAGGGATAGAGTTTGAAACATCAATGAGAGAGAAACATCGATCAACTGCCTCCTGCACACCCCCACTGGGCATTTTGGGCTCACTTCTAGCAATAACTAGCAACATGAGCCTTGTATAGAAAACTCATTTGGTGAAATAATTAAGTGAAATTATTTGAGTTTTCTTTTTGACAGAAATAGCTCTTGTGCCCGCAACCAAGGTACATGCCCTTGACTGGAATCGAACCTGGGACCCTTCAGTCTGCAGGCTGACGCTGTATCCACTGAGCCAAACCGGTTAGGACAGAAGAAACATTTTAATATGTTGACCTGGCTAACTTTCTGTGAAGTATCCAAATATTTTTTCACTGAAATCCTACTTGATTCTTGGAAAAAAACAAAAAAAAAAGTAACTGAATTCAAGTCTATAAAACTTCTTTCTCTAAATTATGGTCTTTTTTTTTTTTTGGCCTAGGGCGCTAATCTCTCTACTGCTAGGCTTCTTGAGTTTAAACAGTTTACAATAAAAGGGCTGGTTGGTGCTCTGAAATCCTGAGAAGTTATCTTTGTCCTCCTTCAATTATCTCAATCATCTTATGCCTGTCAAAATTAGATACACTTGCAAAAACCAGGAAAAGCAGTTCATATTTTGTCAGCGGACATAGGACAAGCTGTAAAAAGGATTTATTTAATCCTCACCTGAAGATATGTTTATTATTGATTTTAGAAAGAGAGGAAAGGGGCGGGAGGGAGAGAAGGGGAGACGCAGAGACAGCAATGTGAGAGCAGATGTGAGAGCAGAACATAGATGGGCTCCCTCATGCATGTCCCCTATCAGGGATTGAGCCCACAACCTGGGCACTAGGAATCGAACTGACAACCTTTTGGTGCATAGGATGACACCCAACCAACTGAGCCACACAGGCCAGCGTGGCTCATGAATACATTTTAGTTTGAAACTACAAATCTGTATGTGGTGGGTATATGCATAATACGTAATGTAGCAAATCTCTTATGTATGGATACTTGTCTAGTAAATTTATTGGAAAGCTATGTAGAATATTCAATACCATATCCAAAACCTTACATTTTAAAAAAGTTTATATTTCTTAAATGCTTAAGACTGTATGAGGTATATGGTGTTTTTTAAAAATAAGAGTTTGTTAAATAAATTAAGTACTATGTCTAATCCTGAGATTTTCTGTTTAAACCAAAAGTTTGTATCACTTATTCATCTCCGTAACTTGAAGTGAATGATGGGACTTGAAAGGATAATAATCTACTTTTCCTCAGTATAACCTGAAGCCATTTCTTTTATAAGCTTTATTTAAGAGCTATTTCTGTCAAAAAGAAAACGCAAATAATTTCACTTAATTATTTCACCAAATGAGTTTGCTATACAAGGTCCATGATGCTAGTTATTGCTAGAAGTGAGCCCAAATCCCAGGCATCACTGATAATTTCATTCTAATACTCTTTTTTTTTTTTTTTGCCACATTACATTGCTTCCTCCATATGGTAAAAGATTTTCTTCTTACATAACAGCAGCTTAAAAATAAAATTTTATTTGAATAGCAAGGTCAAGTTCCAGGTGCAACATCCTATAAATTTTTTAAAATCACAAAAGGAATAGACAAAACAGCAAAGGTCACAATAATGCTACACACTGATTTAGAAAAGGGTTTTAATTATAAGAACAAAAATATATTTAGAAGGTACCATCTGCAGAAATATATTTTTAATATTATTGATTCCATTATCTGAAGTTAAAATATTATCTTGCAGTTTGTCATTAAATTTCAGGTAAACAAACAAAAAAAGGTTAAAAAATATGTAGCACTTTGAAGAAAAACTGCAGATTGAAGGTTGTCATTTTGCTGAAGAAATGTTTTTGTTTTGTTTTTCTTTCTTTCAGAGGCTATGTGGCCCCTCCCACTCGTTCTATGCCCTGCCTGGTTATTTCTTGATGTTCTTTTTTCTACTGCATCCATTATGCATCTCTGTGCCATTTCAGTGGATCGTTATATAGCCATCAAAAAGCCAATCCAGGCTAATCAATATAACTCACGAGCTACAGCATTCATCAAGATTACAGCGGTGTGGTTAATTTCAATAGGTATGTCGGAAATGTCAGGGTGCAGGGTGGTATATATAGCCTTTGGTTCCATTTAGCTAGAATTCCAGGCCTGGTGGGTTATGAAACTCAGCACAAAAAGTCAAGGCAGCTTACTGACACATCTACACAAGCTCCTATGCCATCACATTAATCATACAGCTTCTAAACTATACTACCAGCAAAAAGTATTAAAAAGCAGAAAAGTTCATGTCCTCAGAAAGATCCATTTTCATGTTTACTGATCTATCTCCCAGTTTTGATTTTAACTTGCAGGAAGAGTAAGTCTAAAAAAACAGTTTTCATATTTGTTAACAGATCACTAAGGTCTAGGTAGCATACAGAATCCCAAAATATTAAAATAACAACAAGAACAACAAAAAAGCATTTTAAATCACATCTAAGAAGACAAATAGAAGAAAAAAAAACAGTCCAAGTATTTTGTATGCAGGTATCAAAGATCATAAATTCATCTTGGAAGCAAATATGTGTATATACTAAAGGCAGTCAACTTCTAAGTGTTTTGAATATGTTTAATTAGAAGTTTTAAAAGAGATACAAATGATGTTCAGAAATGATTTATGGAAAGCAATCATATTTCTTCTGAACAGTTTTATGGCTCTATGCCCATCTTCAATAGCTGCTATAATATAGTATCTTAGCATAAAGCACAGCATAAATAACTCAAACCTCTTATAAGTTAATATTAGAAAAACAAACAAATTCACAATTACTATGATCATTCAAGTCGTCATGGTATAAAATATTCAAAGAGGAAAGAAAAAAATCAAGAGATCTAGCATGCTAAAAGGAAAGCAAGAAAAGATGTGACTTCTCTCTAATCAGAAAAGAACACTGGGGCAAAAAAGCAAGACACTGAAGTTAAACCTTTATATTCCTGAAATAACGACATCAGGGCCAAACCTCTTAAGAAGCCTGGAGGTAAAAGAAAGGAGTGGTACTCCTCTGGCTTAGGAAGAAAGTAGGGTCAAAGAAAAGTCTATTCAGAATGGAGAGATTTGCAAACAGTTTGGAGGGCAGAGCCGGATTGACAGCAGAAGAGGCTCCCCTAAAGGAAGCTAGGGAAAAGGCATGGAAGATAATAGGTGACAATTACCAATATTTAAAGTGGAGAGGAGGAAACCTAAAATAGTTCACTTCAAAAGACCCACATCTTTTGGGGTAGGGTGGGAAGAATAGGCAAGGGAAGGAAGAAAATAGGAAAAATGAATTCTTAAGAATTAAAACATTTGAAACTGTGAAATATGATCAAGCCAATATATAAACAGCTTGTTGGTAGATGTGGTGCCTCAATTAAGGCTGGATAACATGAATTTATAAATTGATCAAAATTGTATTGAGCATCTATGATGTGCTAGGTACTAAGACTACAAAGATGAATAAGAAAAAGAATCTTTGCCTGGCCAGTGTGGCTCAGTGGTTTAGCGTTGAGCCATGAACCAAGAGGTTACTGGTTCAGTTCCGGGTCAGGGCACATGCCCAGCTTTCGGGCTCAATCCCCAGTAGGGGCATGCAATGTTTCTCTCTCATTGATGTTTCTATCTCTCTATCCCTCTGCTTTCCTCTCTCTCAAATCAATTTTTTAAAAAAAGATTAAAAAAAATATCTTTATACTCAAGGAAGGAGATACAGACAAAAATTAGGCTAATACAAAGATATAAGTATGCAGGAAAAAAAAAAGAATAAAAAGACCCCAGATTTATGGTGTTGGAAGGAATCTTACAAATCTACTCTTTCCTTTTATAGATGAGAAAAAATCTAGAGGTTTAAATGGTTGGCGTAAGGATTCTTACAGCTTTTCAGCATCAAGGCCAAGATCAATGCTCTTTTCATTTCATCACACTTTGTCTTGTAGAACCAATGACAATTTAGTAACTTTGCAAAAGAAAAGCTGATGATGGGGTTAGTTCGGTTTTTAAATTCTTCAAAGCACTAAAAAAACTCACTTTCTTCTTCTGGATTTATGATTATCCAAGGTAACACTTAGCAATAGTAAGATATTAAAGGAGAATAAGAAGAGAAGGGTTTAAAAAGTACCAGTGGAAACATTTGTATTGGCCAACAATCTGGCTGAGAATGTAATGTGAGCCTTGATAAGGTTAATGGAATGTGAAAATAGAGAAGGAATGATGGACTAGAGGTCAAGGTAACAGTAAAGAGAAGTTCTACAGTAAGGAAGATTAGAAGGGCAAGAAAGGGAAATATAAGTGTTCATAATTTTAGATAAGGGATAATTTTAAGTGGATTTAAAAAAGGCTTCAGGAGTGCAAACAATAATAATTGCAGTTGAGAAGTTCAAGAACATAAAATTAAGGTGTAAGGGTCATCATTGGGATAAGGTCATAGGAGATGTTAGCAATGGAATAGTGGAGAGGAAGACTATAACAAGGAGCTATCAAGCAAGATAACAAATGTCCAGGAAGTGGTAGATAAATGGAGAATAGAGTGGTATAAGTCAATTAAATAGACTTTAAAAGGGAAATGTTGTTTTGGAAAGAAGAGTGTAATGATTACCTGGAAGTAAGACAGTAGAGCAGGGTTCAGCCAACTTTTTCTGTAAAGGGCAAAATAGTTGCCACAACTATTCAACTCTGCAGCAGAACAAAAGCAGCCATAGAAATACGTTAACCATGAGTATGGCTATAATCCAATAAAATTTTATTTACAAAAAGAGAAGGCAGGCCAGATTTAGCCTTCAAGTTGTAGTTTGCTGACCCCTAGTGTAGAATAGTTAAGTATACAGAATCCTCTTTCTGGTGGTAGTCCTGCAGAAAAGTAGAAAAAGCAGTGGCCTCCACTGGAAAGGTTTGAGGAAAACTTTCTTGTCAAGGGCTCTTTAGCTACCATAAAAAAGGCTGTGCAGATAAAGGAGTACTTTTAGATTCATAAAACAACACAAGGATTCTAGAGGTTCCTAAATATTAATTCAGTCTTATTTTAAAATATCTGCTCTTTCAAAGGGAAAAGATTCAGGCTAACCCTTGTGTTACTTGTCTTCCTAATAAACTACTCCACCAAGCAAAATAATATTTAACTATTTATAGTATTTAAAGTATTAGAAAATTAGCATGAGGTATATTTCTTTCATATCTATTAGAGGAATTCAATCCTAAAATAAATTTCATGATTCACATAGTCTTAGAATTTTAAGTAGCATTTTTTAAAAACAATGAACCCCTTAGTTTTCCCTAAGAAGGAGGAAAAGGTTAAAAGACATTCACAAACATCAAAAGGTAAAACTACCTGTTAAAAGAAACCATGTAATGTCAAGATGATACTAATTCAGAATTAATATGTTGTATGAACATACTCTGACATCTCTTAGAACAGTGGTTCTCAACCTTCTGACCCTTTAAATACAGTTCCTCATGTTGTGACCCAACCATAAAATTATTTTTGTTGCTAACTTCATAACTGTAATGTTGCTACGGTATGAATCGTAATGTAAATGTCTGATATGCAGGATGGTCTTAGGCGACCCCTGTGAAAGGGTCGTTCGACCACCAAAGGGGTCGCGACCCACAGGTTGAGAACCGCTGTCTTAGCACAACTAACTACATTGAATAAGATAAAAGCAGAGTCTCTTGAATACCTTTTCCTTAAGCTGAGATAGATCAACAAACAAAAATAGATGATGAGAAGTAGAGAGTAAATGAAGACATTCTCTACTATTCTATGAACATATATTTTTAGGAAAGCTTTAATATAAACCTGAAATCATTAGCCAACGTCTGTTTAAAAAATAGCAGATTTGCTTACTTAGGCTCTATTTTTCAAATCTTCCCTTAAGTGCTTTGACAGATTCTGTATTGTGGGTACCAGGAATTACAATATCCTAACCACATAAAGTCACTAAAATAAACTTTAAGAGGACCTAATCTAAGAATCAAAAGTCATAAAATTAATTTATCTTATTTCCTCTTTCTTAGGCATTGCTGTTCCAGTCCCTATTAAAGGGATAGAAACTGATGTGGGTAATCCAAATAACATCACTTGTGAACTGACAAAAGATCGTTTTGGCAATTTCATGCTCTTCGGCTCACTGGCTTCCTTTTTTATGCCTCTGGCGATCATGATTGTCACCTACTTTCTCACTATACATGCTTTACGAAAGAAAGCTTACTTGGTCAGAAACAAGCCATCTCAACGCCTAACGTGGCTGGCTGTGTCCACAGTTTTCCAAAGGGAGGAAACACCTTGTTCCTCACCTGAAAAAGTGGCAATGCTGGATGGTCCTCACAAGGACAAAACTCTGCCCAACTCAAGCCAAGATATACTTATGCGAAGAATGTCCACAGTTGGAAAAAAGTCACTGCAGACCATTTCCAATGAACAGAGAGCCTCAAAGGTTCTAGGGATTGTGTTTTTCCTCTTTTTGCTTATGTGGTGCCCCTTTTTTATTACAAACATAACTTTAGTTTTATGTGATTCCTGCAACCAGACTACTCTCAAAATGCTCCTGGAGATATTTGTGTGGATAGGCTATGTTTCCTCAGGCGTGAATCCTTTAGTCTATACCCTCTTCAACAAGACATTTCGGGATGCATTTGGCCGATACATCATCTGCAATTACCGGGACACAAAATCAGTAAAAACTCTTAGAAAGTGCTCTAGTAGTATCTTCCGGAATACGATGGCAGAGAACTCTAAGTTTTTCATAAAACATGGGATACGAAATGGGATTAATCCTGCTATGTACCAAAGCCCAAGGAGGCTCCGAAGTTCAACCATTCAGTCTTCTTCAATCATTCTACTAGATACACTTCTTCTCACCGAAAATGAAGGTGACAAAACTGAAGAGCAAGTCAGTTATGTATAGAATAAATGACAGTTTTCATTTAATATAATGATGAGCAGGATGATGAAGCAGATATGAATGAAACAAGAATTATGTAAAGAACTTAATTCATGTATCATATCATCTCTTTAAACTAAGAGTTATGTATTAAAAGTATCCAATTTTCTTTATTTGAACACAATTACTCCATGAAAAAAAATCATTTTGTACAGCTGCAAATTAAAATAATCCAGCAGTCTGGTTAAATGTTGAGGTATTCAAATGAAATAAAATTAAATAAATCAATACATCTCAGGCTTACAAATGTCTTCATAAGAATTTATTTAGTTCCTACTTGTATGCAAAGCTGTGCTACAAGTGAAATAAAACAAAACAAAGCATTATCCTTGTCTTCAATGCCTTAAAAGCATAAGGTATAACAACAGTGATAGGAACAGAGGACTAGGAATAAGTGTATAAAATAATGATCACTTCTGGAGATAAGAAGTTAAGATTGTCATTTATAGTGTGGGTTAGTTAGTAGTCATAATTTGCTTTCATCAGGAAATTGCCTTAATGGAAGGGGTAGGGAGGACAGCAGTTGGATATCACACAAAATAGTAGGATCTTAGAACTGTAGCCATTTATTAAATAGCTGATACCAGGGATCTATTCAGCAGAGGTGGATCTACTAGAGGAGGAGAAAACAAATGAAATCACTTTTGGGTACCTAAACCTTCTTAAATAACATGTGCAAGCTGGAGGCATGAGACCTCAATCCAGGAACCTAAACTTGAATGGTCTCGTAAGTTGAGATCATGGCTGCCAAAGCTTACCCAAAGACATGGTTGAACTTCGGGCACAAACATTTTTTATTTACCCTCTCATTTTTTCATTTTGTACCACTAGATCTGAGAATTAATTCAATCTGTCATTTACTAGCCAGTTGATTGAATTTAAAGATACTAAATTTCTCTGAGCTGCAGTTTCCTCATTTACATTTCATAGGATTCTTATGGGGGTGAATATAGTAAATGGTAGACAATTCTTTTTACTTTTTAAAATTTTATTTTTATGCTACTCTCATATATTTAGGCTGAGGGGGTGTACAGTAGAAGATAGCACATATCTTAGCTTTTTCTTTTCATGTTGATCCATTCTTATGCTTCAACCTATTATTCTATTGCTCTCCTCAACACAACTCAGTTTTAAAAAAGAAAATCCTCGCTCAGGACATGCTTTTTATTTATTTTAGAAATAGAGGAAGGGAGAGGGAGGGAGGGGGAGAGTATGAGGGAAGGAGAGAGAGAGACAGACAGAGAGAGCGCGCGCGCACGCAATCGGCTGCCTTGTGTATGTGCCCCGACCGGGTATTGAATCCACAACCTGAGTATGTGCCCTGACCAGGAATCAAGCCCACAGCCCCTTGGTGCATGGGACAACGCTCCAACCCACTGAGCACACTGGCCAGGGCGCAACTCAATTTTAAAAAATTACTTCAAGAAACATGTTGGCTATTACTCAGCCCAAGTAAACCAGGTATATATTCTCCAAATGAAATGGGAGAATCCATTCCTATAATCTGGGAGATATAAATATATATATATCTTACAAGCTCTATGTCATCTGCCAAAAGGAGTATATCTTACAAATACAATTCCTAAATTATCAAAGCTTTAGGCACTTATCCTCACCAGTCTAAGATTTTTCAGCAACATTAAGGATAGGCTATCTCAAATAATTTATGTTCCTAAAACAACAACAACAACAAAAATTCTTTTCAGTTTTGGTTCCAGTCTCTAATATGATGGAATTGGGATATGTTAATATTTGTATTCATGCAAAGTCTTGTGAGATTTAGTTTTCAGACATCACTGTCTTTCAAATGGTATCTTATGTATCTGACGGTATCTATAAGTATTTCAGGAAATCTAAATACTAGAGATAGCAATCACACTGCCAAGCTCTAGTTCTAGACCAGCCGTGGGCAAACTACGGCCCACGGGCCGGATTCGGCCCGTCTGAAATGAATAAAACTAAAAAAAAAAAAAAAAAGACCATACCCTTTTATGTAATGATGTTTACTTTGAATTTATATTAGTTCACACAAACACTCCATCCATGCTTTTGTTCCGGCCCTCCGGTCCAGTTTAAGAACCCACTGTGGCCCTCGAATCAAAAAGTTTGCCCACCCCTGTTCTAGACAATCCAGAGTAGAACTACCTTCCAACATGTTCTACATTGCCTCCAAATATGTGTATGTGCTTAAACATACGCTCACCTATAAAATTAACTATTAGACCTTTAAACTATTTAGCTTCAATTTCTGAAAGAATAAAAAACTCTTTGCTTGCAGTTAGCTGAGAGATCTTTCTAGTTAATGAATGAGGGCATTCTACTATTTCCAGAAGATTCTAGAAAATGAAATACAAACCCAATATAAACTATTTCTGAAAAAAAGTACAATATAGCACAATATTTTTACCACTTTGATACATAATTGATATTTATATTTCAGAATACTTTAATTTTTAAGCAAATCTCAAAAGTTAACTAATCCTATGGCAACACAGAAACTCTGTTTACTAATCTTCTTACCTTCGAAGAAAAGGACTAGGTTGTACCTCTCTAGAAGAATAATTTTGGAGTTTGCAGCTCCGTGGAACCATAAAAGACACACTCAGGGGGCAGGCTCAGTGAGCACCAAAGCCCCATCGAAGCAAGTCTAGCCCCAGAGGGGTGTCTCCAGTACAGAAGTTCTCCCACTGCAGACACAGCTGATTCTCACAGCCAATTGGCCTGGAGATCAATTCCTCACAGTGATAACTACAATAATCAAGGCTTAACTACAACAAGACTGTGCACAAAGCCCACAAGGGGGTGCACCAAGAGTGTCTACGTCAGGTAATTGGGGAGGCTGAGCCACTGGGCCCTATAGGACACTTAGCACAGAAAGCCACTCTATCGACACAGTGAAGCATAAAAC